TAAATAGTTATATTCTGTAGTTTATTCTATTATTCTGTGCTCATGTTAAAAAGTTAAATCATATCAAGGCAATATTTATTAAGAATGTTAAGTTAGGAAAGTACTTTTGAGGGTCACATTTATTCAGGGTTGCATATATCTAAATCTATGAATATTGGCCCCCCTTTTGAATAATTATTCTCTCTCTTATATTCTGTAGTTTATTCTATTATTCTGTGCTCATGTTAAAAAGTTAAATCATATCAAGGCAATATTTATTAAGAATGTTAAGTTAGGAAAGTACTTTTGAGGGTCACATTTATTCAGGGTTGCATATATCTAAATCTATGAATATTGGCCCCCCTTTTGAATAATTATTCTCTCTCTCTTTTTTTTTTTTTTTCAGTACTGGGAATCAAACTCAGGGTTTTGTGCTTGCCAGGAAGGTGCTGTACTGCTGAGCTACATTCCCAGCTCTAATTATTCTCATTGTACATAAATAAATCATGGATGAAAATTTAGGTAGTAAAATGACATGGACCTAAAATCAGAATATTATTATTGTGACTCTGAGCAAATCACTCATCTGAGACTGAATATTATAAATTAAAATCAGGGTTTACCACCTTGCCTGAAAAGGTAGAAAAATGCTTGGAGTAATTACTCTTTCATCTTGAATTCTTAAAAATCACTGAAACCATCTGTTGGCAGCCAATTTAGTGAGAATCTGAAAACTGCCTACCCTAATTCCTGCTTGGAATCCCAGACACAAATGGGACAGGCTGCTCTGTCTGCAAACCGAGCCAGGTTCTATGTTGGGCTTCCTCTGTGAGTGTTTATTCAATACTGGTGACTTTTTCTATTTGCTTTTTTTGTTCACTTCCAGGCTTGAATACTGTTGCCCTCTTTCCCTTTTTACCTTTCTTCATGCTTGGCTCCTATATTACAATGACCTACTTCCTTGATTATCTTGGCCTCTGCTCCGTGCTGTAGTTAGTATAAGATTAATTTATCACTTATTTTAATATCTGGAGTCCTATCATGCTAGTTCTTTGGTGTGTTAACTCAGGATCATGGAGTTGAGAGTTCAAAACAACTCTTTAATACCTGGAAAACAAATATCTAATAACAACCAGTAATAAAAAAACAAAACAAAACAAGAATATAGGAGGGCAAAGAGGACTTACATAAAAAAAATAAATAAAAAAAACATAGGATAGGAAAAAAGTTGTTAGGACTTGGAAGAAAAATCTTTTATGTGAAATAGACTTGCATAATGAGAGAAACATCTTAGAAAGCAGTACTATTTCCTCAATGAGCCATTTCCACATTTTAAAAAGAAAAGTGAGGCTCTGGGTATAGCTCATCAATAGAGTGCTTGCCTAGCATGTGTGAGGCCCTGGCTTCAATTCTCAATATCACAGGAAAAAAAAAAAAAAAGAAAGAAAAAGAAATTAGAGATAATACCCACAATGTACAGGAAACTAGAGAAGAAAAAATATGAAGGCAAACAATGGCTATAATTGATGTGAAGGAGCTCATGAAGATATGGGCTTTGGCACAAATAACATTTTTGAGAGGCTCTCACAGCTGTTTAAACACTTGCACAGTGCTTATCATTCCTGGAACTTTGCAATTTTCACCTCATTTGATCTTTATGAAAAAAATCTGAGGAAATATATTAACTGTACTTCATTGCTAAGTGTGACCCCATATCTCTGTGCTTTTTCTTTGGCGAGAGTAGCAGGTGCAGAGTTGAACCTTATTTAGTCTAAGAGGATATGCATGACATTAATTTGCCTCTGCCTTAGACAGTCCTTCCCTTCCCTGCCTGCCTGCCTGCCTTTCTTCCCCTCCCTCCCTCCTCTCCCTCCCCTCCTTTCGCGCTCTCTCTCTCTCTCTCTCTCTCTCTCTTTCTTTGTAGGAAGAAGGAAGAATTTATTGAGCAGAAGGGGGGCCTGGAAAGTTGGTTGACCCTGCTTGTCTTTCTGATGTTTGCTTTCTGATCCTGTGCTTGAGAATAAGGTCCCCTTCATCCTAGTTCATCTCTTTTAAAGCTGCTTGCAAAAGCGGGGGGAGGTATCTTAATTTATTTCCTGATAAGAACTCAATCATAGGCATAGGAGTGCTAAATTTATGCTGGGTGTGCTGTTTAATCTTTTTTTTTATTGGTACATTTTAGATATACATAATGATCACGTTCATCATAGGGAATTTGTACCTGTGCATGGTATATCTTGCTGCTTCTTTTTTCTTCATTCTCTTCCCCTCTGTTCAACCCCTCCCTCTGCTTAATCTTGTAGACTTTTATTTATGTTGATATTTTATGCATGTTGTGTGACACAGAACCGTGTTAGGAGGCATCCCCCATCTCTGTCCATCAGCCAAATACTTAAAAGTTAATAATACAAGGTAGCATATTAGTATCAGAAAAATAACATGTAAAGAACTATAAATTCTGAGGGTTGAGAAGCATTTAAAACAACCAGTTAAAACCCAAACATTTGTGAACTTGGGAATTTCCTGTCAAACTTCAAATTACAGTCAATCCTTCATATTGATGGGTTCAGCATCCACAGATTTAACCAACAGCAGATCAAAATATTTGTGGAAAAATCATATCTGTACCACACACATACAGACGTTTTTCTTGTTATTCTCTAAACAGTGCAGTTTAACCACTAAGTACATATATATGTACATCATATTAGCTACTAGAAGTAACCTAGAGATGATTTAAAGTATATAGGAGGAGGATGTATGGAGGTTATGTGCAGATACACCATTTTGTATGAGAAATTTGAGCACTTGAAGATTTGGGGGTCCTGGATCCAGTACCCTAGGATATTGAGGAATAGCTATATATTGAACCCCTCTAGGGATTTAGAGGGCACTCTGCTGTCAAATAGATATGATCACCCAGGTCATTCATAAATGTTACAATATCGTTCTGTATTGTTACATTCTTATTAAACATGAACTGACAATGTAATTTGCAGATGTATATTAATAATATAAATTGATGAGCCCCAAACATACATTATGTACCAGACGCTTCAGTATTACTTTTTGCATTATACCATGGCTCTGTTTTCTTAAAAACTTCTTTGTGTGTGTGTGTGTGTGTGTGTGTGTGAATGTGTGTGTGTTTGTGTGTGTCTAGGACGGGTACTGGGGTTTGATCCAGGGCCTTGTGCATGGTAGGTGAGTGCTCTGCCACTGAACTGAATCCTCAGCCCGTTTTTTTCAGGCTTTTGGCTTTGATCATTTCAAACTAAAAGGAAAATTGCAAGAATAGTAATTTTAGAAACCCTGTTACTAGAAGATGGTGATTTTTCCTAATTTAATCATTTCTTCTGTTTATTAGTTGGTCTTTGTGTATAAAGAATTCCTCTTCCCCCTTTTTTCTTATTAAATATCTATTATTATTAACTCATCTATTATTCTGTGAGTAATAATCTATTATACTGCCCTAACTTTGATGGTCCAATTGTACCACATTGGACAATGAGAGTCTGTTCAATGTGGGCCTGTGGCTTTCTTTGTTGTTGGTGGTAGGGGATTAAGACAGGGTCTTGCTGTGTATTTCAGTCTCACCTTGAACTCACTGTTGTAGCCCAGGCTGGCTTTGAACTCTCAGCCTCCTGAGCACTGGGATTACAGGTGTGAGCGTGACACCTGGTATGGGCCTATGTATTTTGAATTACTCCTACTTGTTTTGCATCTTTGCTGCCCTAATGCTTAGAATCAGCATTTTCTTCAAGGAGTCTTCATTCCTTTTAAGGGAGAAATGGTGTTTTGATACTAGATCTTTTCTAATCATTTGTCTTTTCTGTTTTTCCCATTTATTAATTTTGAGTCAGGGTCTCGCTAGTACACATCTTGTGATTCTCCTGCCATAGGTTCCCAAGTGGTAGGATTACAGGTGTGTGCCTCCAAAACCAGCTCTACTTGCTTCTTGACTGTGTTTCTGTACCTTTCATTTTTCAACTCATCTGGAATTTATTCTGTACTGTGATGTGAGGTACAAATCTGCATATTAAACATATTTAAATTAATTGTAATAGCAGTACAGTGTAAACCAAAGACATCTGTGTATGTATTTTCCTCCTTCCGGAACACTGATTCAGGGAGACAATGTTAATTTTAAATAATATATTGAAATTGCCAAATGATATATATTTAATTTTACATCTTATGTGTGGTTATGTTTTCTTTAACTTTTAGGTACATTTTCTAGAATCATAAAACTTTGTGAAGAAAAACGTGAAACAAGTGAAATAAAGAAAGGAAGAAAGAGTAGCAGTGTGTCATCTGTAAAAGGAATTACAAATTTAGGAAATACTTGTTTCTTTAATGCAGTCATTCAGGTAAGTGTTAACAGAATGACCTATAAAATGTCAACTGTTAATTCATATGCACATTGGCACACTTGTAGACTATTAAGACTGCTAAATTTTCCTCTAGAAATTGCTCTATTTCTTTCTATTTAGGATATCTGCATATTGTCGTATATATGCACACACCTTTTCACACCGTGGTTCTGAAAGGTCTGTGTATTTTTACCACAACTTTATTGGTAGTAGTGACATTTACTAAATGTAATACGCAATAAGTTAAAAGAATTTAAATAGCATTTTTGCTATGGTAGATGAAATTTGAAATTTTGAGAATATTCATTTCATAAAATCTGAGGCATAATATAACTGAATCGAAGACTTTACTTTTACTTTCTTTTAGAACTTGGCACAGACTTATATTCTTATTGAACTAATGAATGAGATAAAAGAAGATGGTACAAAATTAAAGATCTCTCCTGCAGATTCTCAGCTGGTAAGCATAATTATCTAGATAATATCTGTTTTCAAATGAGCCACTGATATTGCCAAAATGCATCTTTTCTATTCTCATTTGGAATGGTAATAAGCAGACAGAAAAATAATTCAAAGCTGGTATGGTGGTGCACATGGGAGGCTGAGGCAGGAGGATTGCTGTGAGTGCTAGGCCAGCCTGTACTACAAAGCAAGACCCTCTCTCAAAAAAACAAAACAAAAAAATCCAAACAAAAAATTCAAAAACATTTTGTGAAAATAATTAGATTTAAAGTTTTTAGAATTGTAAGTTTAAGATACATTATTCAAATATATCATGGATCAAATCATACAGACTCCAAGGCAGCTTCTAAATAAACATACCAGAAAAACAAAAGGGGTTTGACTTGTTGAGCAAAGTATCTAGGATCCTGTTTTGTAGTTACTAGTGACATTTGTTTAAATTTAACATCTTGTTCTTTAAAGGTAGATTTAATGGGGAGCATCTGAACTTTATTATTATTATTATTTTATGGTACCAGGGATCGAACTCAGGACCTTGAGCTTGCCAGGCAGGTGCAGCACCGCTGACCTAAATGATGGGTTTTTTAAGCTTGTGAGAAAGAAAGAGAAATAGGCTAGCCAATGAAAATGAAAGCAGTCCCTGCCATTCTAAAGTGGGCCTAACATCCAGAGTCACGCTGTTATCCAAACAGTCTCACAGAAAAGCAACTGAAGTCTAGGTTTTTCTGACTGAAAAAAATGAGTCGAAAGATGGCCACACCATAATTTGTTCAAAAACAGTGTCACTCTGCCATAGAGAACGTTCCAGTACCTTCTCTCTTAGAATGAGAAATGGATTATTATAGTTTCTTTGCCAGATATAGCTTTAATCCTGTTGTCCTCTCTCCTTTTCCATGAATAAGTCTTATTGAGAGACCCACTCATAGAATTACCTCTTGCTGATAGCATGCAGGCTGGAGTGAATCTCCACTTCCTTAGAAATTTCTTCTAATTACCCAACCAAAGCCCAAATCCCATGTCACTTCTTTATAACACCCTTTTATTGAAACACCCTGTAATGTCTCAAGGTGTTTGGTCTACCTCACTACAACAAGCAGTCAACTCACTTTGTTAACTGTAGGTACGTATGTTCCTGATGGGCTCTGACTATAGGGAATTGATTGTAGTAATAAGAATTTTAGGTAGAAATTGAAAGCTGGAAGATAGGTATGGTAGTGTTAAGCCAGCAATCCCACCTACTCAGGAAGCTCAGGCAGGAGGATCACAAATTCAAGGCCAGCCTGGACAACTTCATGAGGATGTACCCTCCATCCTTGTCTTCCCCTACAAATTAGGAATTGAGAGCTGGGCACAATAGCATATGCCTGTAGTCTCAGGTACTTGGGAGGCTGAGGCAAGAAGATCACTTGAGCCCAGAAATTCAGAACAGCCTGTGCAACACAGAGGCAGCATCTTAAAAAAAAAAAAAGAAAAAGAAAAGAAAAGTGTGTTTGTGCGAACATGTTAAAGGAAGAAAGAGTATACGTGTAGTTCATGATCTGGCTTTAAAAACAATTAAAAAGAAGAGTCTTTTTAAAAAGATATTTAGCCCAAGCTGGGTGTGGTGGCCTAAACCTCTAATCCCAGCACTGGGAAAGCTGAGACAGGAAGATCACTATGAGTTCAAGGCCAGTCTGAACTACACAATGAGACCCTGTCTCAAACAAGCAAACAAACAAACAAAAACTAGTACAATGTAATAGTTCAAATTGTTCTTCCCAAGAGAAAGTTTTGAAAGACAAAGGGGTAACATATTTTAGAAACACTTTTTCCTCCTTCAAAAGAGAGATTTGATCGCATAATTCCTTATTCCTTATGTAAAATATGTGAGGAAAAGAAAGGTGTGGAGTTTTGATAGTAAATATAATTTTTGTGAAAATATACAAATAATCAAGTAGATCAGTACTTTTACTCGTAGGGGAACACATGTGACAGTTAATGAGCACCAATGATTGATGATTTCACTCAAGTTAATAGTTTTATTAAGTAAAGGGAAAAGTATATAAAAATACCTGTGTTTTTCAAAGCAAGTATTTAATCCTGTTTTTTTATACATCCATTTTAGATATGAAGGAACAAAGTTTAATAATTTGAATCAATTTAATTGCTATCATTTAAACAAAGTGTAACACTTTATTTTTAAGTAATGTTTGACTTTGAAATTGTGTACTTCTGATATATAGTTGATTATTTATTTATTTATTTATTTAGGTACTGGGAATTGAACTCGGGACCTTGCACTTGCAAGGCAGGTGCAGAACCACTGAGCTAAATCCCCAGCCCAATCATTTTATTTTTATTTATTTATTTTTTATCATGTTTTTACAGGACCCATTAGCAGTAGAACTTTCAAGCCCTGGACCACTGACCTCAGCCTTGCTCCTGTTTCTTCACAGCATGAAGGAGACTGAAAGAGGACCACTTTCTCCTAAAGTTCTTTTTAACCAGCTCTGTCAGAAGTGAGTGTATCTCCATTCTTCATATAAATAATCATATACTAATATATTAATTGCTTGGTATGAGTCATTTCACTTATTATAACACTTTTACTGCCATTGCAGCCTGGATTCTTGAGAAAAAGAACAGTGTGCTTATGCAAATTATATCTCTCTCTCTCTTTCTTTTTTTTTTTTGGTACCAAGAATTGAACTCTGGACTGTGCGCTTGCAAGGCAGGCAGCAGAAACACTGAGCTAAATCTCTGGTCTAGGTCTCATAATTCTTTGAAGAAGTGATCTTTTATCCTCATAGAAGGAAATGCAGATTGACAAAAATTGAGTGCCTGGTATGAGAGTGACAAGGCTAAGAATCAAGTAGAAGTTGATCTGTCTTGACTCAAGTCTGGGTACACTACTGCAAAGTAAGAAAAGCTTACAACTGTAAAATCTAGAAAGTACTGTAAGAGATCATTGAATCTAGCTTCCTTACCCTGCACCCCTTATTTTGATCTGGGGATCAAACCAAACGCTTTGACATGATAGTCAAGTGCTTTACCACTAAAATATACCTGATCCCTACCTTTCTTTTTTTTTGTACTGGGAATCAAACTCAGGACCTTGCACCGGTGAGGCAGGTGGTGGCACCACTGAGCTAAATCCCTGGCCCACCTTTCTTATTTTTAAAGATGAGCTTTAAGGCAAACAAAAGTGATTTAAGTGATATTCTCAAAATACTAACATATTTAAAAACAAAGTCCCCATATGTCTGGATATCAACATACCAAAAAGGAACTGACTTAACACTAATATCATTTTTTTTTCTTATTTCAGCATTTACTTTTATGTGTGTGTGAGTCAGGGTCTCACTATGTGTTTAGGCTGGGCTTGAGCTAATTATTATAGCCTATGCTGGCTTGGAACTCGCAGCAGTCCTCCTGCCTCAGCCTCTGACTGGTGGGAGTACAAATGTGTTCCACCATGCTTGGCAAGAATTTACTTGCTGAAATCCAGGGGTACAGCATGTAATGTGTTAAAAATGGGCCTGGCTGTCATGGAGCTTTTAAGCTACTTTAGTTCCCAATTACTGAATAGGAAAAAATAATTTTATATGTGAACTTGCATATGTGTGTGTGTATCATATATATATATATACTTTAAAAATCGCATTTTAATTCAAATGTATTCTAAAACATAGCAGGTTTGGTGTTTGTTTAACTTGATTGGTAAATGTTGTTTCTTCAGAAATGGGGCTGGGGATTACACTCAATGTCCTGGGTTCATTTAAACACACACACACACACACACACACACACACACACACACACACACACACAAACCAAAGAAAGACTCAGAGATATGGGTGCTTCATCCAGTTAGAATGGTTTTAGGGCATTTTACACTTCAGAAAAAAAAATTTTTTTTGGCAGTACTGAGGATGGAACTCAAGACCTCACACTTACTTGCCAAGCCTTCTACCACTGAGCTATAGATAGCCCCAGTCATTTATTTTAGAGACAGGGTCTCATAAAGTTATCCAGGTTGGCTTTGAGCTGGCAGTCCTCCTGTTCCAGCCTCCTGAGTAGCTGGGATTTCAGGGGATTATAAATGTGCACCATTATGGTTAGAAATTTATTTTTGTCTCTGCTAAAAAACTTTGTTCTGTGTTTTTCTTTTTCATGTGTTTTTGGTGTTTGTTTCTGTAGTAGTAGGGATTAAACATAGGGTCTCAGGCATACTAGGCAAGTATTCTACCACTGAGCTACATCCCCAGCCCTTTTAATTTTGAAGTAGAGTCTCATTAAGTTGGCCAAGTTGGCTTTAAACTTGTGATCTTCCAGTCTCAGTCTCCCAAATAGCCAGGACTCTGGGGTACCACCACACTGAATTTTTTTTCCTGATTTTAAAAGGATTTATGAAAATTGAAAAAATTTGTTAAAATAGTACCTGCTTATAAATGAAAATTTAAATTTCTGCCTACTCTTATTCCTTAGTTATATCCATTACAGGTTTATCTTTTATCGAGGTACCTGGGACCAGAAATATTTTCAATTTTGGGTTTTTTCTGATTTGGGAATATTTTGGTATTTTATATATATATATATATATACACATATGTATGTATTATATATAT